CAAGTTGAGAGTATGAGGAAAGTCTGGTCCTCTCTTGGACTTTCTCCTGGGCTCAATGGCGAAGAGGAGGACATCGACGTCCAAATTATTGCCGATCACTTACAGGATGTGAGCTTAGAAGAAGGAAGTGACCGGAAGCAGGGAACCATACGTTCCTTGCGTTCACTTCGTTCAATCAATCTCGATTTTGAAAGTGGTATCAATGGTGGAATGCATAGTACTTTGAAGGTACCCTCGGATTTGGCTGGAAGCAGCGACTATAGCTCTCGATTCTCCTCTTTTAAAGGCAAATCAAAAGGTCGAAAGAGTGTAGTCGGATTATTCGCCAAAGATGAAGACAAGGGTAAAATCATTTCGGATTCGTTGAATTTGGAAGCCGGTTTTTCTCGCATTCGTCACTCGACTGACAGTAACGCGATGTTCTCTCCAACCGCCGAACTTTCCGAACTTGACCTCTCTGTATCGCTCACTCATTCCCGATCTCAGTCATTCGATGTTGATGTTCTCACCTCGGACGATGACGACGGCACTCATCTACCCGGTGGACTCGGTGTATCTCGAAGAAGGACACTAGGAAGCGAGATTGGCGATCTCGGTGATTCAAATCCCAATCCCTTCTCAGGTTCTTCCTATTTGAGGAGTAGGAATAATTCTCTCATACAAGAAATCGAAGGTCATTCCTTTGATTCTGGTCTCTCTCAAAGCGACATATCTCCTGTGAATATTCAAGAATGTTTGGAATCGGGAATAGTTGACCTGAAGGAGGATCGGGAGGATACTCAGAAATACAGGATTTCACCATCCGATGCTAGTATTCGTATCACCCCACCCACACCTGATTCCAAGCAAACCTCCTCTTCGCCCTTTCCCTCCTTAACTAATGCATCTTCAACTTCATTCAAATTTACATCTAGTAGCATTTCTACGGCTACCGCCCAATCCACCCCTCAAACTCTAACGGAACCGAAACTGAAACTGAAATTGAAAGCCGATCCCGAGTCTATCCGCGCCCGGCGTATATCACTTTCTCAGAGTGTAAAAGCTCGAGCTGGGAGGTGGGGTCCAAGGTTGAGCCCAAGGTTGAGTGATATATTTCAAGCTGCTCGCGAGGCGAGCGCTAATGGTCAGGATGGTCGAAGTAAGTCAGAGTCTCATGAATCGGACAATGGGGGCGGATTCCGCGAAGAAATTAGTGCTAGGCTGAGTGAAGGATTTGGATCCGTCTTTGGTCGCAGTCTTTTTCAGGACGATGATGATGTCAAATCGAAGTCCAGTGTCAGTTCGCTTCGTACGAACTCACGGCGACATTCGACTCATTCCTCCTCCTCTTCTCGTCGTGGGGAATATCAATCACTTTCATCTCACCCCTCTGTAGCCTCAGGGTCGAAGTCACATTCGACAGCAGGAGCAATTGTCGTCCGGCCCGCATTCACAACAGCACTACCATCGTCGTCATCGAGTGTTCAACGTGTACGTTCACTCGTTCTCGAAGCCTGGCTCTGGCTCCAGCTCTTGGTGGTGTTAGGTGTATTTATATGGGCTGTTGCGAGGAAAGGTCCGAGGGGCGTGCTGATGCCAGTGGAGAATCATAATGTCAAAGAAGGTCGTGGTGAATATGATGAAGATAGTCGATCTGGCATTGTTGATGACTTGAGTGACGAGGATGGTGTAAGGAACGAAACATGAACTATCTGACACGAGATTGCCTTCTCTGCAATATTCATTTCATTTTACAGCACTATCAACTTTCTCTATAACAGTATTGTACAAATTTCTACAACGAACACATTATTTACACATAATATACTACAGCTTGCCACACCATTGGTAAATTTGATTTCCATCTCATAATACAAACAACAAGCTTCGATTTGATACAGCGTTTTATGGAACGAACAACAAACGGAGCATAAAACACGATATACGAATGAAAGGACCCAAATAAATATACATGTATACATACAAAACTTCCAAGTATCCAGAGTAATGATACAGCTATGCTATGTGTGGTGGCTAGGGCGACAGGCGCAAATGAAGCAATACAGATCCAGCAATGATAAACCTGGAAACGAAAACAAACCAATGTCGTGGCAATCCTTCGTTAATGTCGTTGACATCATTGTCACAAGTTTGCAACACCGTACAGCTTATCGAGTTGCGCTTTGTACTCCTCCTCCACAGCCTTTCTTCGGATGCTTCCTTTGGAAGCGGTACGGGGTAGCGAACCAAGGGGAACGATGATAATCATATCCGCAGAGGTAATACTTTCATGAATGAATCTCCGAATATGAAAATGTCGGATTTTCCTCCATATGGCCTTTTTCAGCTTGTTTTTCTCCTCGACTCCTGCGGCAGTGCTTTCGACGAACAGGACAGGAGATGGGCGTCCTGTGCCGATGACAATACACTCTGATATGAGGGAGCCACAGCTCGCTCGGGCGTTATCCTCGATAGATCTAGATCACGGTATTGTGTATTAGCATACAATCCAAAAAGGGATAGTCTGTTAGAATGCTTACTTGGTATCACATCTCAGACTATTCTCGGTCTTGATCCAATCGTCGTCCCTCCCTGCAAAGATATATCTCTCAGGTCCGACCTCGATGAACAGGTCACCAGTATGGAAGACACCGTCTTCCGGATTTCTCAACGAGGTATCCGGACAGTCACCGGAATCCGGAAGTACCACAAACTCAAGTAGGCGGTTGGTGGAATGATATCCGGCATTCTCCAAGTCGGGATAATCCTCCCCAGTTGTAGTACGAACCGGACGGAACTCGTACGAAAGCCCAGTCAATGGGCGCAGGTGCCTGCGAGTATTGGGATCCTTCCCTCCTATCGAGATTAGAGTAGATCCACCCAATTCGGTACTTCCGAAGATCTCTTGAAGGTTCATCCCAGAATTGTAAGCAAAATCCTGGTCCTCCTTAGGCAACGCCATCCCACAAGTGGATATTTCATCTAGGCTGGCGAGTACACGGAGAAAGTCCGGATTCTGCCGTGCCGCTCGTAAATGCGCTGAGAAGAAGGCGGAGAATTGCCATATACGGTTGACGTTGCAGTGTTCGACCATAGCGGTTAGTTCGTCTGGGGAAAAGGGAAATCGTTTTGGCTGGACGATACAGGTACCATATTGCATCAAGCAGAGGAGCATAGTTGTTTGACCGATATGACACATACTTCCACTGTGTGAAACAGTCAGTTACGTCGAACAATCGGAAGTGTGATGAAAAATACTTACATCCAAGTACTGACGTCCTGACCGTTTGGACCGAGTGGAACACAGAGCTGATCAGCTTTGCGAGCTACTGCATCGAGCCAACGGTAGTTGCAAGGAACTAGCTTCGGGCTTCCGGACGTCGATCCGCTGGTATGGAACACGAATGCACGTTCCGAGGGATCGACAGGGTGCTCCTCCGAAATGAGATATGAGTTATGGACTTCCTCCACTAGGCTTTCTGACGAAAGACTAATTTCGGAGAACGGCAGTGCTGTAAATATTGGGACTGGGGAGTCTTTGGTGCGGTCGGCGATGACACTCAACATTCCATTGTCGCATACAAGCGCTTTGGCTCCTGCTTTCTGAAGGAGCTCGTAGACAACAGTGGGGTTAGGGAGACGAAGACTGAAAAGCTGAGGAATGTAGCCTGCTTTGGAAATTCCGTAGATGTGTAATACATCAGAATATGTATAACCTCCGATCCACAGTCCCACCACCGACTTGGGCGGAACGTTGCCCCTGATGTTCAACTGACGCGCCCAATATCTAGCGCATAACTCGACATCATCGTAAAATTGTTTAAACGTGATTGTGTCCCATCGTGCATTGGAAGTTGATTCCACAGAGGGAATCTTGAACGCTGCGGTGTTTGCGAAGCGTTCGCTACTATCCCGGAGGATAGATAGATGTGTCTTGAGGTTAGCTTGGCCGTTAGCAGAGAGAGGCATCTCGAGACTAGAGATGCACTGATAGAAACTGTTTTGATAAGTAAGGAGTCAGAGCGATTATCCCAAGCCTTTATAACAGGAATTTCTAATGCGGATAGCAAACTTTGAACTGAATCATGTAGACGAAGCAAGAGTCACAATGTCGGAAGCGGTACCAAGTATTGGGAACGGCCAGACAGCGCTCACGTCTCAGGTCGTGAACCACTCTTCAAGTACAGCATTGTGTTGTATAGATGTTGGTCGTATGTAAGCCTTCTTTCGGGTTTCCTCAGTAGACGTAGTCAGCAAATGCTGTTGTGGGAGGGGTCTTACTAGTCAATTCAAAATCGTTAGCTTAGTAGCCTCGGATTGCAAAGAAATTATGACACACTATTTTTTTCGGATTTGCTCAATTAAGTTCAGATAGCTGTGATTTGTGACACTGAAACGCTACGCCGGTTCCTTGCTGTACAGACTAATGAACACTTGATTGTTCCAAGATTGGTTTGTGTGAAAGAAAGTTACAATTTGCACTGAGCAGTGGAAGGACCGGTGTAACAAACTGAGATTGCTTCGCGTTATGGACTAGCTGAATTCCATTTTTTGTCGAGTCATCCTGAAGTCCTTGAATCATCTCTCGATATGTAGTATATGTATGGTGTATGGGGATGAAAGGTGTATGGACACTGGATGACTCAAGCGAGATAAGCGCGACATCCGAGCTGAGACGTATAGCATTGTGTTAAGAGATGTGATGATACGGCGGGTGGCGGGAGCGATGTCGAGCAATGCCAAGATTGAGTCCTTTTGCGCCCAACAGACGTCCAAACTAGGATTGATTGAAACTTGCGGAATGCTGTGTTATGTGAGGATGTAACATGTTAGAATGTGCGTAAGCCCAAGAGCGAAGCGTGAGTGGGAGATCTCTGCTGAGCCCACGCGGTATTCGATAGTTGTTCATCATCGTTTGCTATGATGAAGGCAGGATGAAGGGGAATAAAGCGGAACGAAGGTTGTGGTTGTGGTTGAGTAAAAGGGTGTGAGTTAGCAATTTAGACAGCATCCGATGTTATACACCGTTGGTGAAGTGGTTATCATGCTTGCCTTCCATGTATGCTAGGTTAGCAAGCGGCTCGGGTTCGATTCCCGAACGGTGTATTTTGATGCGTTGTTATATTTTATACTGTTTGCCTGTCGCTTTTTTAAATGACTTCCAGAAAGTGGTAGTCTGTTTCCTACCAGCATCAAGCCAAGTTTTTCCCCCCGTGCAGTGCAGTATGCTGGACTTTTTCTGCGAGCAAATTTACTGCCTGGTTTCCAAGGCCCAACAGCCGTATGAGACCGCAGAAACAAAGGCGACTCCCAGGCAACTCCGGTGTCGACGGAATTGAATGCGCGCAATTGATTTTCGACATATAATCAATCGAATTCCTAGCGCCTGCTCAGGCGAAGACCTTGGCTTCAATATCCACTGGCCCTGCTCTAGCTTGTTACTTTCTCTCTCGAACCACCGTACGCATGAACTCGGCGGACGTTTGGTTGCTGCTAGACGACAGTCAGATTTCCTCGTCGTTTATCGACTCTGATGCTATCTGGACCAAGGCCGTAGACTCCACAGGCCGTTGGCTAGGTAATTCCTCCATGTATATTGGATCGCCAGGAGGACAACTTGTAGTCACCTTTCAAGGTAGCCCAAAACCTCCAACCTATACGAGCATATGTCCTCAACGAAAATTTTGTAGGAACTGCCATTTCATTCGCAGGTTCCACTCCATCCAGCGCAAATTCTCCAACTTGGTTTATTGCTTCTATCGACTCCGGCGACCAGGTTAATTGTACGTTTCCAAATGCTGGTCTCACACAATACTACACCCAGTGGTACGAATCAACCGTACTGGACAATGGGCTGCATACAGTCAATTTGTCAAGCCTTGTCGTGGATGTGGACTATGCCATCGTTACTGTGGGTCAGACAACGCCTTTAGGTGATACCTCGACCATCATTGTAGATGATCCCAATACCGAGATTGAATACCAAGGCGGTGGATGGACTATGAGCAACGCCTCCTTGGTCATGAATGGAGGCTGGGCAAATGGGCCACCATTAGGAAATTCAACGCATCGCACAAGCTCTGTCGGTGATTCCTTCAAATTCCAATTTTCTGGTGGGTACCCTCATTTGAGCGTCCGTGACTTATCCGATTGATAATAATTCACATCCGCTTCAAGGCAGTAGCATTTCAGTCTTTGGTGTCTTCGAATGGACAGGGACTGGAAGCGTCACTCTTGATTTTAATCTGGATAACCAAACCACTCCCTCGGTCATTAGTGTACCCTCGGGCTCGAGTCCTTCCCATCCGGAAACGCCGAATCATCTATTTTTTTCGTCCAATGTTACAGCAGGCAACCACACCCTCCTTGTGAATGTCACAGATGCTGTGGGCAATCAGACGTTTGTCTTTGATTATCTCACCTACATCCCATCATTTGAATCACTCGCAAGCAAACCGAATTTCACGGGGACGGCTGTTGGCTCTGCATTACCAACACAGGTAGCTCCTACGCAAGGGAACGACAACACACATCATTCAAACACTGGCGCTATCGTTGGCGGTGTAGTGGGTGGTCTGTTAGGCATTGTACTACTCACTGTCCTTGTCATTCTTGTATTCCGCAGGCGCACATCAAAGCCAGACCTCGGCTCTCCTGGATCTCTTGAAACAATAGATACCCGACAAATCCAGAACGGTAAGCCCGTCTTGCCCGTTAATTATACCCCTCAACCATAGTATGATTCATGTACGCAGGATATGTTACTACAGGGCATTCCAATGTTCAGGCCCAGTCACCGAGTGACCAGAGTTTTGTTTCAAGTTCACCCATGAACGGCTCAGATGAAACGAAGGTTCCATCATACACTGATCAGACATGGTCCTCATCAACCGCTCGGCTACATCCCTTGCGGTATGGAGAATCAACAGCATCCAGTCTTCCAGCTTCCTCTGCGTCAGGAAGAACGGTGTCGGAAGGCGAGGGAAGCCCTTCACAGGTTCAAATCGATGAACTACGCAGGATGATTGATGATCTCACTTCACAGAACGCGCCTCCGGCCTACCATAATGCTTGACCGATAGCATAGTTTTATCATTACTAGCCTCATACTACATATCTATTTATTTCACGCCACACTCCTTTTCTTCGGGCTTAAAACGTTAGTGTCGACTTTGAGTTAACTTATCTTGTTTGATTTTCCAACTCTCCTTTGCAGTCTAAGAGATCCTTCATGTGACTTAACCAGTTGCGGTAAATTATCATAGATCTCTTTACAGGTTTGCAGATCATGTTGATAAAATCCTTTCGCAGATTTCAATTGTCTACAGTATATGGACACCGGGATATTCATCTCTGAAGCTGTTCCAAACCGATTAAATTGAGTATGGAAAGGGTATATTCCCAAGTATAGAACCCGTCTGTAAAGTACACTGTACAATGGCCTGTCCAAAAATATCAGTGAAAGAATGACAAAGAAGGATTGAAGTTTAAGGGAATCTGAATAAAAACTGCAATCATCTGTCATTGGGACAGCAAGAGCATCATCAGGGCTCATTACTGGAGGATTCAAATTGTTGTCATTGCAACTTTTTACCAGAAGAAGTGTCAGGGTTCATACGTTCATCTCTCAGACATCCATCTAGTCCCAGAACCCTCTACATGGCGGGTGACTTGCTAGCTCTCACAAATGTACCAGGTGTCACACATCAGATGCAAATCATATATTTATTTATTGTACGCCACGCTCCTGTTGTTCGGGCTTAGAACGTCAGTGCCAACTTTGAGTTAATTTCTGTTGTTTGACTTTCATTATAATTCCAACTATCCTCAGCATTCTTGTGCGGTTGTTAAAGAGGTCATTCATGCGACTTGATCAGTTGAGGTAAACTATCATACATCCCTTTACAGTTCGCAGATCCATAGCTGATCAAGTCCGATTTCAATCGTTCATAGTATATGAACACTGGGATATTCATCTCTGAAGCTGTTCCTCCAAAAAGACAACGAACCTTTCGCCCACACCTTTTTCGCTCCAATCGACGCTCCCGCGCTCGATAGTGCCCAAAGTGATCACCTTTTTCTGAACGGTGACAAACTGACGTTTCAAGCGAGAAAGTTCTGGTAGTGTCACGTTCCGTGGCGGTATCGTCAATTTAAGAGGTGAAAAACCTGGCGCTGGCGATAATGCCATCACACCCCCAGATCCGTCCTGTGCTGACATTATTTGTTGCATGATCAACAGAGTTGTTCTTTCCAATGTTGCTAGAGCGTCTGTCGGAGCTTTCACGGTCTTTTAAACAGACAACTGCGCTGATTAGTAGGGCCACGCTGCAAACGAGGGTAGAAACTGACCGCGACTGTTCCTGAATTGGGATTACTTACTTTACCCTTTTCTACAGCACCCCAGATGGCATCTAAAGTTGTTTGTGGTATGGATTCATCGGACCATAGTAGAGTGAAGAGTGGCGAGTCCCATCGAACCATCGACGAAGGTTCTTCATATCGAAGAAATAAATTTTCCAACGTTTCATCGGAATATCTGTCATCCCCTTCCCGAAGTTTGTTCCACTGTCGACATTGCTCTTGTGGTGCGAGCACGTATACCTACTTGACAAAACACAATCAGCATAGGTTTTGGTACGAGGATGCAGTAAACAATAAGGCTTTGAGAGGATGCAGTAAACAAAACGCCGAGATTAATCAGTCCGGGCGACACGGCGCCACCCAATGGTCGCAACGGTAGCGTTATAGAGGTCAGCAACAAGGGAAGACAATGAGGTCCGTTTCAGCAATCATCAAAATCTGTCCGGAGGTAGTAGAAGAATAAAGATTGCAGGAACTGAGAACAGCCCCCTACAGCCCCTCGGTCGAAGGTTCCGAGAGTTCAACAAGGGCCATTCAATTCCTCGGCTTCGACCCTTTATTGGAGCTCGATATGATAAATATAGAATAGTGGAGTTTACCAAAATAGTCGCAATCCGAATGGAAGGAAAGCATACGCGGTAAATACTAGCAGAGGCCAGAGAAGGATTTGTGAAGAAAAGACCCACAGTTACGACTCTGACTTTTACCTCTCTGGCAGCACAGTATATTTGATATCGAAATCCTTTGATATAATTTGGGGCATCGATAATGAGAATAGTATTTGGTGAGAGAAGGCGTATTATTGCAGTCAAGAGGGCTCCGCGCGCTAGTTTTTCAGCAGCGGAATTATCGTAAGATGATCTCTTGATATCAAGCAAATGGGACTTTTCTGAAAGTAAAATGACCTCTTTCGAGGCATCAACTTTTTCTTGGAGGAATGCCTGAAGTTGGCTTGCTCTAGAGCTTTTGCCAGAAGCAGGATAGCCAGTGATGGTAATGAGTGACATACAGATAAACCGAATCTAAGGTCGGTTGATATGGCTCAACGTGGGAATTCCAAGGTTGTTACACAGAACTGATCTCAAATTGGTTTTGGCCCACATACGCTCCTTACTATTTTCTATTTCTTACAATTCTCATCTTTCTCCTTTGGGCTGAGCCAAACTCTGTGTTCCCTTCCGCTTTCCGCGGTCAATTCCTGCGGTAAAACACCATGATCGCCGCCATGACTCCCCCAGTTCCTCAACAATCACAGTATCCAATGCCTGATGATCTTGAGGAAAGGCTTTGCCCTGGATGTAAACTTTCGGTGGTGTCGGAAGAAGGCGGGCTGGTTGTTGCATTTGGGTGCGTTCTCCTTTTTTATAAGATATTCGCTGTTTGACGGTGAAATTTAGCCAATGTTTCTTCCACGTAAACTGTTTTAAATGCGCTAAATGCAGCGATAAAGTCACTGCAGATACTAATCTGCTTCTACTTTCCGATGGCTCTCCAATCTGTGCAAACTGCTCCTACGCTTGCAATGTCTGTAAACAGCCTATCCTTGACGAAGCTATCATGACCGGTGACGATGCATACCACGCTCATTGCTTCAAATGTAAAGTCTGCAAGAACCGGATTGATGAACTCGTCTTCGCCAAGACGAGTCAGGGCATATACTGTATGGATTGTCATAATCAACGTATGATAAAGATTAGGAAGCATACTCAGAAGAAGGCGGAGCGCGACCGGGAGAGACAGGC